TAGGTGATGGATCCTGTATATAACGCCCCCTCCCCATTGTCTACTATATCCACTTTGATTATATAACATGCATAATTTAAAATCAAGCTTAAGAAATAAAAGCAATTTGTCCTAAAATCTCAGAAAGAAAGTAGCAATAAAGGATTAAGCAATAAAGTTTCCCATTTTTCTGTGAATATTACATCACCTATACAGTGGTACCTCGGGTTACATACGCTTCAGGTTACAGACTCCACTAACCCAGAAATAGTGCTTCAGGTTAAGAACTTTGCTTCAGGATGAGAACAGAAATCGTGCTTTAGTGGCGCGGCGGCAGCAGGAGGCCCCATTAGCTAAAGTGGTGCTTCAGGTTAAGAACAGTTTCAGGTTAAGAACGGAGCTCCGGAACGAATTAAGTACTTAACCCGAGGTACCACTGTACCTGTTTAATGATCTATCTTGATTTCAGGATTGAAAGGCGTGCCCAGAACCACCATTCCACAAAAGAGCACCAGTGATTACAGTAAGCTGTATGACAGACACAAATACAATATGGAATGGCCAGCCTTTTGACACGGGCTAACTTTAATCCAGTTTATACTGTACAATAGATTACTGCCTTGGGATTCACAGGAGGAAGATACAACTAGATCAGCTTCGGATGGTCACTATTTTATGGAATTCAATTGCGTATAGGGAAATTTTGTTGTTGTTGTGTAGTCGTTTAGTCGTGTCCAACTCTTCATGACCCCATGGACCAGAGCACGCCAGGCACTCCTGTCTTCCACTGCCTCCCGCAGTTTGGTCAAACTGATGCTGGTAGCTTCGAGAACACTGTCCAACCATCTCGCCCTCTGTCATCCCCTTCTCCTTGTGCCCTCAATCTTTCCCAACATCAAGGTCTTTTCCAGGGAGTCTTCTCTTCTCATGAGGTGGCCAAAGTATTGGAGCCTCAGCTTCACGATCTTTCCTTCCAGTGAGCACTCAGGGCTGATTTCCTTAAGAATGGATAGGTTTGATCTTCTTGCAGTCCATGGGACTCTCAAGAGTCTCCTCCAGCACCATAATTCAAAAGCATCAATTCTTTGGCGATCAGCCTTCTTTATGGTACAGCTCTCACTTCCATACATCACTACTGGGAAAACCATAGCTTTAACTATATGGACCTTTATTGGCAAGGTGATTTCTCTGCTTTTTAAGATGCTGTCTAGGTTTGTCATTACTTTTCTCCCAAGAAACAGGCCTCTTTTAATTTCGTGACTGCTGTCATCATCTGCAGTGATCATGGAGCCAAGAAAGTAAAATCTCTCACTGCCTCCATTTCTTCCCCTTCTATTTGCCAGGAGGTGATGGGCCCAGTGGCCATGATCTTCGTTTTTTGATGTTGAGCTTCAGACCATATTTTGCGCTCTCCTCTTTCACCCTCATTAAAAGGTTCTTTAATTCCTCCTCACTTTGTGCCATCAAGGTTGTGTCATCTGCATATCTGAGGTTGTTGATATTTCTTCCGGCAATCTTAATTCTGGCTTGGGATTCATCCAGCCCAGCCTTTCGCATGATGAATTCTGCATATAAGTTAAATAAGCAGGGAGATAATATACAGCCTTGTCGTACTCCTTTCCCAATTTTGAACCAATCAGTTGTTCCATATACAGTTCTAACTGTGGCTTCTTGTCCCACATAGAGATTTCTCAGGAGACAGATGAGGTGATCAGGCACTCCCATTTGTATCAGCAAATTTAGGTTTGTGCAATTCAAGTGGATTAAAGAACTCTGGCATGCCTGCACATAACAGCAAGAGCACTTCAGAAAACAACCGCCCCCTGGAACTTTTTTGGTAAGAAAATTGATGAGAAAATGCACTAGATAGTATAGGATAAAAGTCAACTGGTAGGGGGTCATAAAACCTCTGAATAAACAGTAGACATTATATAATTTCTGTGCAAACTTAGGGCAAACCAGATTGCTTACGCCCTAAATTGCAGTACAATTTGAGCACAAAAAACAATGCAAGCCAAAGAGTACAGGATCACAGCTTTGGCTGTAGTTCTCCTTTGTTGTCTTACAGAAGGCACCTTTTTTGCTATCATTTAATTTTCCATCAGTCTCCAATTTGTAGAGTGGTTGTGAGAGAAAGATAAAGGTGAAAAGTGAAATAATGCGGGCTGTCTAAGTGCCTAATACTTCTGTATAAGGTTTCATACCGTGGGATTTGAGCAATGGCTCCATAAGTCCTTACTGGGAGAAAAATACCCAGAGAATGGCAGCGTTGTGTGTATATCTTATACATTCTTAGAGCAATGTATACTCTCCACACTGAGGATTACTTAAATTAATACTCAAGAAGAAAGATAGTTGAAACAAACATTCTCTGCACTGACTATAAAGCAGCAAAGAAAGTAGTAGAGAGAGAGACATGGAAAGTCCATGAAATTTTAATATGTTGGCCATTAAAGTACATCATTTATTTCTAATACTAATATAACAAGGATGCCTAAGTACAATAGTGTATGATGATTTGCTTTTCTTAATGGTTCTGCCATAAATCTCTTTGATTATGATTACTGAAATTCTGTACCTTCCCTGATAGTGCTGTGCCAAATTATTAGTGCAGCAAGAGAGTGGCAATTTCTGATAGTGAAATGTGATCAGATGTAGTTCTTTGAAGGACTCTGTGGGGCTGCTTACTATCCTGCAAATATGAATTACAGCAAAATTGCCTAGCCACTCTGACAACATTAAAAATTACTGCAGCACAATGGAACTATTTAATAAAAATAGAAAAAATGCACACTTGTAATTATGTTGAAAGGTCATGGAAATCATCAATTTTGGGAATATGATATGAGGAGTGTGACTTAAAACTTCCAGTAAAAGTATCTCCTAGAGGATATTTGAACCACAAAAAGAAAAGAAAAAAAGATTTGTGTTTTGCGTTCGCCGTTTAATAGCTAGAGGCACAATGCCATCCTGTACTTGCTTTACAACTTCAGGGCGTAGTTTTCCTAAATGAAAAACTCTACAGAATAGACCACATGCACAGTCATTTCAAGTAACTTCTCCAAGAGTGGGAAATATAATTGCCTACAAACTAATTAAAAAGAAGCCGCAAAATGTAAGCAGTTCTTTAAGAAAGTGAAAAGAGCTGCCTTCCATTTCCTCATAGTACTCAATGGGCAATAAGGCACAACTTGAGAAAAGAAAAACCCAGCAACCAAACTCCGTCCAGTGAAGCAGCCATTTCGTTTAGCAATGTTTACTTTAAAGAACTGCAGAAATACATGATTGCAGAAATATATAAACCATTTTTTAAAGGAAGGGTTAGAGTGCATAGAGCTTACTTGAAAAAGAGTAATTGAGCCCAAAACAGCACTAAAAATGCCACTTTTGCCTCTCATGTGAAAAACAATACCTGTCATGAGCACTGGAGAGCAGAAAGCACTGTAGAGTGCCTCTAAAAAAAAGTCACAAAAACACCCAGATGCAAATGTGCAATATGAGAAGCTGTTTCCACTACATTTCCACTGTCACTACATTTTTTGTGCAGATCTTGCTGTATGCATTTTCCTGGGTAGAAGCAAAATCACAGACTTTCTGCTTCCTTCTGCATGCTGTAAGACTGTGGTAGCCTAAGGGTTAATGCTCCACTCCGCTGGAGATGTAGTAGGATGGAGCTTTCATATTTTTAAAGGGGAGGACTCTGATTCTTTCTGGAGCAGTAGTGGTCATTCATGTTCATTGGCTGGGAGAAAGAGGGGAAGGAGTCAGGCGGTACGAGATCAGTGCAGTGCAAGCACACCGGTGGAGTCAATCTGGTGCCTGTGTTGTGTTTGCACCATGCTGACCCCTCCAATCTGTCACTTCTACCACTCTACCTTCTGATAAGCAGCAGTGATGTATCTGACTGGAGGTCAGATGAGTGCCACTGTCTCACCAAGCTGTCCACTACTGGCATTAGAATGAATGAATGAATGAATGAATAAATAAATAAATAAATAAATATTTTTTTATTTATACCCCACCCTTCCTGGTTCAGAAAACCGAGCTCAGGGTGGCTAACAACAAATTTAAAACACTTAATTGATGCAACAAAAAGCAGCATATAATACAGTATAAAACGTGAATAACAATAAATTCAGAATTCAAAAATCAATTTAGGGGGGAAATCCATCCAATAAACATTAGATGATCATCAGGACTAGCTGGCTAAATTAGTCCTATTTGGGCCAGCGAAGAGACCGGGGAGAATTAGCTGTGGGATCCCAGAGCGGGTAATCTTCATAAAAAGGGGAGGGGGAGGGAAGGAAGGAAGGGGGATAAAAGATTAGGCTAAGGTCAAATTGAAAGCCAGACGGAATAGGTCTGTCTTACAGGCCCTGTGGAAGGAAGTTAAATCCTGCAGGGCCCTGGTCTCATGGGACAGAGCATTCCACCAGGTTGGAGCCATCACTGAGAAGGCCCTGGCCCTGGTGGAGGATAATCTGACTTCCTTAGGGCCCGGGACCTCTAAACTATGATTATTCATGGACCTTAAGGTCCTCTGTGGGGTGTACCAGGAGAGGCGGTCCCGTAAATACGAGGACCCTAAGCCACAAAGGGGTTTGAAGGTCAAAACCAGCACCTTAAACCTGACCCAATACTCCACTGGGAGCCAGTGCAACTGGTAAAGCACTGGGTGAATATGCTCCCATGGCGGGGACCCCATGAGGAGCCTCGCTGCAGCATTCTGCACCACTGGAGTTTCTGGGACAGTTTCAAGGGCAGCCCCATGCAGAGTGAATTACAGTAGTCAAGCCTGGAGGTGACCGTTGCATGGATCACTGTGGCCAGATCAGGGCGGGAAAGGTAAGGGACCAACTGCTTAATGTGGCGAAGGTGGAAAAATGTCGCCTTGGCTGTTGCTGTAACCTGTGCCTCCATGGAAAGGGAGGCGTCAAGGATTACACCCAAACTCTTAAAGGAAGGCACTGGCACTAATTGGGCCCCCGCAAGAGAAGGGAGTTGGTCCCTCATCCCTATACCATCCTGACCCAGCCAGAGGACCTCTGTCTTCGAAGGATTTAGTTTCAATCAGCTCCCACGAAACCATCCAGCCACAGCTTCCAAGCATCTGGTCAGTGTGTCTGGGGCCGAGTCAGTGTGGCCATCCATCAGCAGATAGAGCTGAGTGTCATCAGCATATTGGTTACTACAAACCATACAGCAGGGATAGCCAGATGCTGGGGGAGGGCTATAGCTTAATGATAGAGCATCTTCTTTGCATACAGAAGATCTCAGGTTCAATCTCTGGTATCTCCAGGTACAGCTGGTAGAAAACCCAGTCAGAAATCCTGGAGAACCATTGCTAGTCAGACAACAGTGAGCTAGATTGACCCATGGTCTGACCAGTTAGGCACTTTGCCATGCTCCTATGCTGTTGGACTTCAAATCCCATCAGTTCCAGCAAGAATGGCAATGGTGATGATGGGAGCTGTAAGCCTGTCTCCTAAAGGTTTCAGGCTTATAGGATCTATTCCCCCCCCTTTTCTTTAAGAGAAGTCAAGATTCAGGGTTCTACTGAAGTTCTACAATGCCAAGGAAGCAAGTACGCAGGCAGCCACCAAGAATTGAAATGCTGTGTCTTTCCAAACCAAGATCATTATCGTGCAACTTCCACAAAGATTTTGCCAGCCAGCTCAATAAATGCAGAGAGCTTTATCTCCCTGCTCTGGTAAAATTCAGACTGCTGCTTGGTGCATGTACTTGCAGGCAGAAAACTGGCTAAGCAGCTTTCGGGCCCCAAGCAGGCAGGTAAGTGAGCAAGTGATGTGGGCGGGGGAGCTGCTCCCCGGGGAGTTGCTGCGGAAGGAGCCATGTTTGAAAGACGGTGAGGTGCTTCGGAGAACTGTTTGGTAAACCACACTCTGAGGTGCCTCCCCACTCCACAAATGTTGCTGGAGTAGCATTTAATGGAGTGTGGGAAGCACTGCAGAGAGCAGTTTGACAACCTGCTCTCTGAAGCGCCCTTCTCCATTGAGCATTACTGGAGTGGAACATGCTTTGGTAAACCACTCTCAAAAACATCTCCTCCTCCATTAAATAAGTCATAAGCTGTGAGAGGATGAGGCATGAGGGAAGCTGTAGGGGCTGGGATGAGATGGACAAGGGAGGGGGGCTTTGGTGAACTTGGCAGAGGAGAGGTTTGGGGAGAGTGAGTTTGGGGAGTGAGTTTGAGGGGAGTGAGTTTGGTCATGTGGGGAGGTAGGGGGGCAGGGATGGGGAAAGGGGATTGGTAAGGGATGGTGGAGTTGGTTGGTAAGAGAAACAAGCAGGGATGGCAGCTCCTAGTAGTTTAATAATTTTATGTGTGTATACTGCCCTGTAGTTATTTAGGACAAAGAATGTTATAGAAATATATTGAATGAGTGACTGAAATAAAAAGCATGCCTCTGTACATCCATGCTGTCTGAATCTGACACAATAGTGTCCTAGATTGATCTCAGTGTAATAAATATGTATACATGCCCAGGGGTGAACAGTAGTTCTCCAAAGGAAGTGGTCACTTTTGAATCTCAAGCTCCCCTGTTTTTAAAGGGCTTGTTGGCAACAGCTCAAAGCAATTTGTTTCAGCACAACAAATCTATTGGACACTGTGCCCTGAAGTAACCGGGCAATCTCTTTTCACACACAGGAACTTCTTAAGCACTGTGAACTTAGCTCCCTCTGTTTAGCGTTACTGATCCGTTAGTCTAAACATGGTACAAGGCAGTTTAATGGGAATCATTTCCAGTAAGAGAGGATGTTTCCTCAGCAGTTTTCAAGTTGGCTCTGACTCAGGCATTCTCAGGGGACCTTATTTAACTGATCATTAGGGAGACAGCAAAAAGGCATTGAGGAATTTCATAACAAAGACGAGTATCCTATAAAAGACCTCCTGAGAATCCTCCTGGCCATGGACTCTCGGCATGCTTGAGGGATTTTATTAATGCTGCTGAAAAAGTAGTACTGTAGCCAATCTATTATTTGTGCATAATTTTAAAGATGCTTTATTGTACTTGTTCCAGCAATATGATGAACTGCTGTGCTTGTAAAAAGCTGCATTCAAACAAACCATAATGAAACGTTCAGAGCCGATTAACACCCTTTATTGGAACTTGCTAATCGATGCAGAAAGGGCTGTAAGTTGCTAAATGGCTGACAGTCAGAATTATCCTAATTTTTCTAGACACATATTTCTCATGGGCTAATATATGCAAAACAACTGTTGAGATGCTATGGAGGTTGTGAACTAGCTTCATTAAAAAACAACAGCAACCCACAGCACTCAAAGGACCCTGATGAAATTGTACCCTGGTGCAATTGTACCATTAACCCTCTGCACAATGCTTTTCATGGGCAACCTGTGCATTTCCAGTGAGCACAAACCTAACCCATAAGTCATGCCACCTAATGGTTCACTGATGATGTTCATGACCTGAGCTGCCAGTAATTCTTCCAGTTGTGCATATATATGTGTGTCCGTATTCCATGCACATGTATGTTTTCCCTAAAAGAGCAAAGAACAGCCTGAAGGGTAATTTTCATCAGGAAAAATGGCACAGGGCAAATGTGCCATTCACCCTCCCATAACCACTGTTTGTAAAAACATGAGCAAAAATGTGTTTCCACAACTCCATCATCATGCCTAGCTTGGCCTCTAGTTTTTTGTTCAAAGGTCATCAAAATGTGTACACTACCCTGCAGTTATTTAGGACATACTTTAGGGAGAGCTGGGCCTATTTCTCAGTCTTTTCTCCTGCTCACCTTCCTAGAAGAACAACTTCACAGATTTTCTCTCTCTGAATATTTTCACCAATTTATTTTTTTATTTTGCCTGGTAATAACGGTAGGCCCAGTGCATTGTGGAGAATACAAAATGGTGGCCAGTCTGCCAACACTTGCAGCAGTGGTAGAAGGAAAAGATTTAGTCAAAAAGAAAGAAACCACACAGCTGCCACTACTAAAGGTAACCCACAGTTAAGGTAGAGAATTGCAAGAGGACATTTGCACAAATTTCTAATTTTAAGTGTTTTGCAGCAGGCCTCTAGACTGCAGTTATTTGCTCACTTACCTGAAAGTAAGCCCCATTGAACACAATAGGACTTACTTCTGTGTAAACAAGCAGAGGATTGCATTTTTGGCTGGCTGGCTGATCTACCTTCTTGTCGCTTCTAAGTTTTGAGGTAGCAGTGATGAGCTTTTCGCCTGTGCCTCCACCACACATACTTATGAAATATGATCTTTATGATGATGAGAAAGTCTACTGCTGCCAACGGTAGAAGCATATCTTTGCAAACCTTCCTTGAAAACCACAGATGTTTGGCACAAGTTGCTTGGGCCTGCTGGGGCTTCAGGAATCAGGGTTTTACATTTTATGTCACTCGCACTGTTTGAATGAACAGTGAGAGCTGACAAGCCGGGAACTTCCAGACAGATAACAGTCTAGTAACATACCAAGCAATACTGATGAAAATGAAGATATGGAATGGCAACTATATAAAGGAGGTGGCTGCCTTAGAGCACAGCTACACTCTAGCAAGAACAAGCATTTATTCTTTTGAGAACAGGACAAGTTGTTTCACACAAGAAGAGGCAGAATCATAGCTGCTGCTAATTTGCACTGAGAATTTTCAAACTCATGTATTCACAAAGATGAGACCTCAGGAATATTTGATATCCCTTTTTTGAAATTAGGTAGGAGTGCAGACACGATCTGTTCAATCTAGGAAAGGATGTGGAGATAACCACAGTTTTACCATATGTGGTTGAAATGTGCTGGGATTTCTGGGGAAAGATACTTGAAGAAATAAACGTAATTGTCAGAAACTGATAGATCCTTGCAACTGCATTGCTTGGTAAAAAATGAAAAATCACACATGGACCTTACATAGTAAAACACTGAAAGATAACCTTCCCTGCGAAATAGTACCATAATGTGATGATCCTCTTGATTCAATTTCTTGAACAAAATCTCTCATTAAATGAAGTTTGGCATCCCATGACTAGGGATGGGTGAATCTGTCATTTTTATTTTCTCCTGGTTTTTCATTTTTCCAGTTTTAAGTTCAGTTCTCCACATTTCCACATCAGTTCATGGTGTGTGTATTTTTAGTCCTCATGAAAATTCATCAGCATCTTAGTGTGAAGTTCTCTGAATATACACATTTTTGTATTCAATATTGCCTATTTGGCAAGGCACTGTCCCCCTTTTCCATTTTTTTTTGTTATTTTCACTCATCTGTGCATTTCTAATGAACATTTTACCATAGTCTATGCATTTTTGTGCCGATTATTTGGCTGGAGAACTGCAATATTTGAAAAAGTCCAAATTTCAGAAGAGAACTGTGTTTTGGTCCTCATATTGTTTTGGAAAGTGAGAAATAGATAGGTTCGCCCTTACATGCAAACACAAACAAATTTCTCCTCCATCCCAATGAATAAGATGAAGAAGCTAAGCGAATTTGGCGGAAGAAGCAGAGACAAAGAATGCTGAATGAATCTGCTAGGACTGCTGGTTTATTTCTGTACTTGGAACAGCATTCCTCTTCCTCTCATTTGCCAGAAAACAGCTTTCTTTCCAAAACTTATCCAGTTTCCATATTATGATATGCAGAAGCAGTACAAAAGAAAGCTAGCCACACAGGTCACATCTCTGCATATTTGAGAAGCCACTCAGCAAATATAAGAATTAAATATGAGGCATTGATAAACATATGAGGCATAATTCAGGCCACCTTGGTTCCATGGGTGCCCTCTCTTAGTATAAACAAGCTTCAGTGTGGTTTGTGGCAAACCTCAACTATTTGCCTTCAGTCTTGGGCAATTGTCAGACAGATGCAATATGAGATTATTCAGGTTCTCTGCATGCCCCTACCCCCAAGTGCTGCTGCACACACCACATTCAATTGTTTTTCACACACACACAAATCCCAACCTTTCCCAAAGAAAACAATATAAAAATCAGATTTTGAGATCTTGCTATCTGTTTATTCTGCTATTGTTTCATTGGAAAAGTTTTTATGCTAGCAAATCCAGGCATGAGTGGTCCATGTTAATTAAAGTTTTTTTAAAAAAATAATAATAATCCAATGTTACTATATATTTATTAGTAACAAACGAAAGAGGAATGCACTGGCTGTAACATGGAAGAAGGTCAAAGAGCTGGTATGTACAGATCAAAGGTAAGTTGGACACCTGGTACTTCTAAACTGGTTATGTATTTGTAGTATAGTGCCATACTAGGGTCAAACTATGACTGTGGATCAAATGCCCACTCTGCTATGAAGCTCTTAATGGCCAAAGATCCCATTCCTGTTTCCCAGCCTAAACTATATTTCTGGAATAATAAAATGGTTTGGGAGAGCGAGGCTAAATCTGTAAGAATAAAATGATGGAGAGTTGCATATTCACAATCTTAAATTTCTTGGAGAAAAGGATATCATTGTCATCATATTTTGATCTATTTCCTCTCTCAAAAAGCTCTTGGTCCTTTTCATTCTCCCTGTCTGTCAACATTATCCACATCCTGGCAAACATAATTCATTCTAACTCTGACAAAAATCATTGGGGAGTGCTTCCCTTCCAATCCACTTCAGCTTAGACCGTTCTTTCTACATAAAAAGGTAAGGAGAGCCTGCCGAATCAGGCCAACAGCCTAGGTAGTCCAGCATCTTGTTCTCACAGTGGCCAACCAGATGCCATATGTAGTTAAGGATTAGAGATGGTGGTGGGGCTTCATGGAATAATCCTGTGTTCTTCTCAACTTCTTCGCAGCCCTCTTTTCATGAAGAATAAACACACTTTGGTGTAAACTAATTTTCTCTCTCATCAAGAAGGAACGCCAAGCCTTCATCTTTTGCTGATGCTGGCACAGTTTTGCAATAATAGCAATTAAGAGTCAAGCCAAAAAATATCAGAAGATATTTGAAAATATTCCAAATATTCCCCCATCCCTTTTCTCAGAAAAAGAAGGCCTCTTTGCAGAATTCTCTCTTAATATTCGCCACCATTTTTGATGGTGGCTGCTCTTGGGAAATTGGAGGAGAAATTGTCCCCCTGAAGAATTTCATTGAAACCCACCCAGCCAAAAGAAATTCTTTGCATGTAGCTTTAGTTGCAATACAAGCAGATCACAATGGCATGAGATACCACCGTAATTTAATATGTGATGGACTTTCTAAGGAGTGTCATACTTATGGGAAGTGGTAAAAAAACAACAGCCTCAAAACCAACCCACTTGCTGCCACAAAGGGAGAAGAAGGGGGGAAATGTGGTATGTGTTCTGTACCGGCTTTTGAAAGAACAAAGAAAAGTGGAATATCCCAATGAATCAGCAGTCCATTGAGTGGTGAGTGACTCAACACTCTTTATAACAGCATTACTAGGCTATTTAAATCACAATTCTTTCCAAGCAGTTAGCCAGAGCTCACATCCAAGTAAGTGTGCATTGCAACTCTAGGCAGACCCCCTTTTTCATTGTGTCAAGACACTGGATGAAGCCCAAAATTCCAGCTCTCAAAGTTTGTAACATAAGCTGTTAGAAAGCATTTGTCATGTACATAACACATATATGGAAATGAACTGAGAAGGGTTTCTTGGGATGCAAAATGTGGAACTGGAGATGTTCTGCTAGGGTGTGGTGCCTGGCAGTTTAGGGTCCAGTCAGCTATTCCTGTCAGTGCCTGGCTTCAATGCCAGTTTTTAAGACATTGTTTCTCTCCACCCACATGTATCGAACACCCACACAGCAACAGCTAAATTTCCCAGAATGAAACTGGCAAAGAATATGTGAAGCATTTGGCTTTCATTCTAAGTATGAGCTTTAGTAGGTTTTTAAAAAAATAAAAATAAAAAATGAGAACTGTTTGCAATAACAGGAAGATGTGATGAAAGTGGAAATAAATTCTAAACAGATAGCGGACAATACCTTCCTAATTCTTAATTCCCTTTTTCAATATCTCATAATGAGCAGACAAGTGGATGGGGAGCTCCTTCAATAATATAATAACAATAATTTATCACCCGCTCTTCACCCTAATGTCTGACAGTGGGTTGCAACAATTTAAAACAAAACATTAAAAACAGTTGTAAAACTGCAAAGAATACAATCACAAAAACAGAGTGGGTCCTAAAAAATATACATCTCAAATGGCCAGAGTAAAGAGGTTCACCTTCAGCATTTGTTGAAAACTGTGTGGCCGGGATTCAACTAAATTCATATGCTGCCACAGTCATGGAAACTGCTGTTGAGAAGCTGCAGCTGTACACAGGGATAGCCTGTATACATTCTCCACATGAAAGCATTTCCAGGGAGAGTTCGGACACATTGTGTGGAGGTTTTCCAGTATCCCTCAGGGAGCTAGCATCTTAAGTCACAGCAAAATAACAGATTCATCATTCTACACAATAAAGAGGCCGATCCTTGGCCTGGAGAAGTTTGCTGCAGGAACAGTAACAAATGTATGTGGTAGTAGGTATATAGAAAGCTGAAGTCATATAGTATCACACACTGTTTAAGGACCTGGGGATAAAGGCCCTTAAAAATGCAACCACTAAAATCTATCAGGTCTCTGTGGTTAGACCTCAGGTACCATCAGCCTTACCCACTGCATGGGTAGTACCTCTGTGACTGTCACGCCACACATGCAATCATTTTCCAGGGGGCAAGCCCACTTAGACAAACCACAGGCTGAAAGAAGACAAACGGCCCATTCAAAACTCACATGGGAATGGCAGTGTTACACAAACTCTTTAATTATGTCTGTCAGTAGAATGATATTTTAAATAGATAATGTACATGCAGGCAGCTGATTCAGCCAGCTCCTCTGAGAGCTGCTAGGTAGTATGAAATGTATTTAAGGTCAGCTTATTTCTAACTCAAAAGAAAGGCTGTCCTGAAAGAGTTTTACTAATGGTGAGGCCAGTAATTAAGGGAATAAACTAGTGTTTTATATTTCAATGATATGATCAAACCAGTCCTGTGTGAGCTTATTTAATTAGTTAGTTATTGCATTTATATTCCATATTTTTCTCCAAGGAGCTCAATGTGGTTTTCTCCCTGTCCTTATTTAACCCCCCAACAACTCTGTTAGGTAGGTTAGGTTGAGAGGCAGTGACTGGCCTAATGTCACCCACTGAGCAATGGCTGAGTGGGGATTTGAACCCTAGTCCCCCAAGTCCTAGCCCGACACTCTAACCACTACACAGTACTTGTGTGTGAAATGCCCTTCAGAAATTTTCAAAATCTTATCAATACCATTTTGGCATCTCTTGAAATTCCTCTGAAGTTTTGCCAGCAGAGGACTATAAAAACATAATGAAACACCAGACATTAAAAACTTTCCAATATGGGGCTGCATCCAGATTCCTTCAGAAAATGGTATAATTGTTTATCTCTTTGACATCTAATGGGAGGCGTTCCATGGGGTAAGCACCACTATTGAGAAGGCCTCTGCCTGATTCCCTGTAACTTCTCACAGTGAGGGAACTGTCAGAAGACCCTCGGAGCCAGACCTCAGTGTTTGGGCTGAGCAAGAGGGGTTGAGATACTGGGCTGAGGCCATTTAGGGCTTTAAAAGTCAGCACCAACACTTTGAATTGTGCCTGGAAAAGTGCTGTATACATTTCAATGCAGTTTTTATCAGTATACATACATTTTTTGCCTTAAAACAATACATTTTTGTAGATTTTTTTATTGTAAGACGTACAAATAAGATAGAAAGGGTTACAGAATTAAGAAATTAAATTTGAAAGTTTGCTGTGTATCCCTCTTCTCTTGTATCAATCTGCTTGCATACTGAGATATACAGCAGGTGTAAAGTAGGAGGCAACCATGGATGAAGCTTTTGTAGTACTGTAGTTGTTGTAGCCCAGGCATCAGCAAACATTTTCAGCAGGGGGCCTGTCCACTGTCCCTCAGACCTTGGCGGGGGGGTGGAATATATTTTTTGGGAGGGAAAGAACAAATTCCTATGCCCCACAAATAACCCAGAGATGCATTTTAAATAAAAGCACACATTCTACTCATGTAAAAACACACTGATTCCCAGACCGTCCACGGGCTGGATTTAAAAGGCAATTGTGCCAGATCCGGCCCCCGGGCCTTAGCTTGCCTACCCATGTTGTAGCCTGTGAAATGCCTCTCTAGGGAGGCTTGCCTCGCCTAGCATGGACTTTGCTATCCTTTCAGCACCTTTGTATTTTCCTACACTTTCAGACACTGCTAACTTAATTTTTTTAATACTTTTAAAATGCTGTGAGATTTGCATTCTTGAGACTTTTCTCCTGTGCTGCACTGCTATTGTTGTTTTTGTAATATTTGTCCACTTTTAAAAAATCAACTATTTTGCAAGCCAACTGGCCCATAAAGGGAGGGATATAATTTTTAAGAAATAAATTAAAAATAGGATTGATTCAACACAACGTTTTATGAATGTACATGCAATGAAAAAGAATCCTTCTATACCTCTTACATAGTGCCTTTTTGAAATACAAAAAAATGAAGTTCGTAAGTTATTGATAGACCCATACTGAAGTCTAAGAAAGTAATTGGGCATCCCTTGCAAAATACTGATAGCAAAAGGGCTTCTGTTTTAAATGTTTAATAACATTTTATTGCAAAAGATGGAAACAAGACAAAAGTACCCATTTATGTGTTCTTGTTGCAGTACATCCTAGCCAGAAAAAAATATGCTTAAATGGTGAAGAACTGAAAAATATCTTCCACTTTTCAAAGTCTAATGAGATACACCCCACTATAATTATTGATGGGTGGCTCAGTGTATCAGCCAATTACTCCGAACACTTAGATTCTGTTTCATTTTTTAATCATGATATTTTTCCAGCAAGTTGAAAAATAAAGGCCTCAGAGAATAAAGGGTGAAGAAAGCTATCACAGTATAACATTCATTTGCTCAGTGTTTTACATTATGTATCATTTATTCCGCACAATTTATTCCAGGCTTAAGGTATGTTTACTTTAGGTTTTCATCCTGATTTTCTCCCCTGTACTTTTGCTGGTTGTGAGGAGTTGAAAAAGTAAGAACAAAAATTGGGTGGCTTGGGTTTCTTTGATGGCATTTTAAAAATAAGGTTATTATAACCCTGTGCTTTTGTGGATAGAGCAGGTTATATTGGAATAAGATGCAGTCACTGTATCAGGGGTGGCACATTCCGTTTCACCACCTTAAGTGGTGCTACCCCACCATGCTGCTGTTGCCCCTGCCTTCCATACCTGGGCTGTGTGGCAGTGGCCACGAAGCAGCAGCAGCAGCAGCAACAACAGTGGGTTCCAGTGATATCTTGTGAGTGCACAAGATCTTGTGAGATTTTGATAAGATCTTAAAAGATGTCTCTGGAAACTGCCTCCAGTTCTCTTCTGCCACAGAGGCGCCCCCTCAGCCTGCCTCAGTGATGGGCCGGCGCTGCACAGTGTTAAAAGCAGACGATGTTATAATTACAACCTAATGTGAAGCAATCTTAGTTCTAGTGGTGTCAGTGCGAGAAGCACTCCTTGAAGCATCCTCCTATTGAAGCCAGTTGGAAAAGTGCTTGGCTTTTTCTCTGTTTTATGTGATTAAAAACCATTTGCCCTGATCCATAGACCTGAGTGCTGTTTCACAGATGCTCACTTACCTCTTCACTTGACTGTTGGGAAGGAGCCTGGATTAGGTTCCTTTCCTCCCTAAAGAGGAAAATGAGAGAAGGCTCCTGCTCTGATGATACAGCTAATTTATTTGAAGTTCAAGTTTCAACCAGCATTACTGATCACCAGGAAGAGGAGGTAAAAGCAGTGTTGAGTGAGAAGAAGAGGATTTGTAGCTAGGTAGCATAGTGGCTATATATGTTCTGGCTTCCGTTGTAACCCTCTATATGTTCAGTTCCATTGTAACTAGGTAACCTATTTTTTGGGGTGGGGGTGGGATTGTCTCTTTGAAGGGGTGAAGAAGGTACTAGTTGCTATTCTTGAAAAAATATGCTGAACTTATAGATAGAGAGTAGAGTTAAAGGTTATTTACTTCTAAAATTAAGATCAAGCACATCCTCTTTGAGCATTTGAAGTGTCTACAAATTTATTAGAGCAACTCCACAATTTGCGAAGGGTTTGCAAAGAGGTGTTTGGAATCACAAGAACAAGGATGCTCTCATCCCATTGACTTGAACCAACCCCACTGCTCTTGATAGGAGAGCCAATTCACAGTGGGACGTAGTCATGGTTTGGCCATGTTACCCAGGTGAGCTTTGACAACAATCTTTACTGCATTCATATCTTTGAATAAATAATAGTCTGAATGAAATATGATTTAAACACACACACTTCTTAACTGGCCTAAATTTGTTTCCTCTCACTTCCAACCAATTCCTCAGAAGAATTCCCACATTGCTAATGTGTTTCAAGAAGGTGTGGTTTTCTGGGGAAAGTTCTGTTTTCAGAGTCTGGTCATCTTGAAGCTTGCTGATGAGGATTGGGCAATATATTTATTTTATTTATTTCATTTTTTATTTTTTGCTTAGAGTCATTCTCTCCAGAAATTAGAAGAGCAAGTAAGCAATTGGAAAGAGCGACTTATTTAAAACTGAGCCTGAAAAAAAAATGTAAAAGGAACTGTGTACTTGTGAAGGAAAACAAAAGGCTGCAAAGGAAACAAATATATATCTTTTTATAAAATTATTACAATTTAAAGTAATGGATGTATGCAATAGTGTGAATGAACATAGCATCATCACACAGTAAAACACTAACGAGTTACAGTTTACAAAAACCTCTCTGTTGACATGATCACTACACACTTAAGAAATGAAAACTGATCTTCCCCTACGAAGCAACAGTGCTTCA